TGTAATAAACCATTTACTTTTCTGTGCTGCCACCCTCCAACCAACAGGAAGCTTGAGTATTTTTGAGAGGTACGTCCAATTGTGAGTTTATTATATATTCCAAGACTGATACTTGGTAGAAATGAACAAGACTTATCTTTTAATACTGACAAAAGATTACAACCCAGATTACAAACAACTAGCAACCACTAAGAAGTCAAAGCAGTATGAAGTAGACACTGCAAGAGAAAAGGGAGGAAAAAAAAATAGAAGAAAAACATGAAGCCAATAAACGTATGAAAAGATGCTTACTCTTATTAACAATCAGGGAAATGTAAATTAAGTAGAAAATGAGACATTTTATACTGGCCACAATGAGAACTCATACACTGCTAGGTTAGACTATAAATTAGTGTCAGTCTGGCAAAATTTTGTGATGCTGAACACAGCTTACTTTGCAATGTTAAAGCATTCTGAATACAAGCCTGCAAGCCCTTAATAATGCCCCCTGTGATTGATAAAAATTAAGCAGATTGGCAAAAATTAAGAATAACCAAGCACTGATGACAAAGTAGAACAATGAGACCATTTTTTTAGACAGGGTCTCACTCTGTCACTCAGGCTGGAGTGCAGTGGCACAATCGTGGATCACTGCAGCCAGGACCGCCCAGGTTCAAGTGATCCTCCCACCTGGCCTCTTGAGTAGCTAGGACCACAGGTGTGCTGGTGCCACCACACCCAGCTAATTTTTGTATTTTTTTGTAGAGACAAAGTTTCACCATGTTGCCCAGGCTGGTCTCAAACTCCTAGGCGCAAACAATCTGCCTGCCTCAGCCTCCCAAAGTGAAAGGACTACAGGTGTTAACCACCGCACCTGGCCACAATAAGAACTCATATACTGCTGGGTTAGACTATAAACTAGTGTCACTTCGGCAAAATTTTGTGATGTTCAACACAACTTACTTTGCAACATTAAAACATTCTGAATATAGGCCTGTAAGTCCTTAATAATGCCCCCTGAAAAAGAATAGACTAATTCAAAGGAATACCATTCCCACTAACACTTTTCTCTGGAATTTGGTAATTAAAGGGACTAATGAAGTTTTTTTGTTTTGTTTAAGAGAGAGGGTCTTACTCTGTCACCCAGGCTGGAGTGCAGTGCTGTGATCATAGCTCACTGCAGCCTCCAACTCCAGACTCAAGCCATCTTCCCACCTCAGCCTATGGAGAAGCCAGGACTACAGGCACCTAGTTAGCTTTTTTTATTTCTTGCAGAGATGGGGTCTCGCTATGTTGCCCAGGTTGGTCTCAAACTCCCAGGCTCAAGCGATCCTCTTGCCTGGGCCTCCCAAAGTGCTGGTATTGTGGGTGCGAGCCATCATGCCTGGCTGAAATAATGAAGTGTTTATATGTGTTTCCAGTAGAATGAAGTTAGCTGCAGTTAAAGAAGAAAAGGTTATGAAGAAAGCTGACTGATAAAAGTAAGAAGAATGACATTTTAAAACTCATGCTTTTGTTATCCTAAATGAAACAATTTAACATGAAAAGTATCCCCAGTGATACTTCTTTTTTTGGAGACAGAGTCTCACTCTGTTGCCAAGGCTGAAGTACAGTGACGCAATCACAGCTCACTGCATCCTTGACTTCTCAAGTGATTCTCCCAACTTAGTCTCTTGAGTAGCTGGAACTAAAGGTGCACACCACCACACCTGGCTAATTTTTGGTCTTTTTTCTTTTTTTTCTTTCCTTTAGAGATAGGATTTCACCATGTTACCTAGGCTGGTCTTGAATTCCTGGCCTCAAGTGATCTGCCTACCTCGGCCTCCCAAAGTACTGGGATTATAGGTGTGAGTCACTGTGCCTGGCCCTCAATAATACTTTTGAGCAGACTGAGTCAAGAGGTGGAAAGTCGTAAGGAACTGGATATTCTTACGATGCCAAAATATTAACTTACAAAGTACTTACTAGGTGCCAAGAGGGCCATCACAGCTATTATAATAAAGAAATCTGTCATTACCTTAATCTAGTCATCAATCACGGCATCTCTAATAACAGTGAGACAGACATTATACATCTTTTAAGATGAATAAAGTACATGGTATCACCTATTAAGTACTCTTGCCAGAAATGTTCATGCTCAATTAGATTAAGTCTTCACATTAGCTCCCAGTTTATAGAAAACACAAGAGATACAGAAGTTAAATGAGATGACAAGGAAATAAACAGATGAATCCTTCAGGTTTGATATTCTCCGTAAAACTCACTTGGTCTCTTCAACAAGTCAATATATTAAAAAGGAAGATTGGAATAGGTAGTGCTGATCTAAATTTTAGAAAATGTAAGTGAACAACCGAATACAATGTAATCAATGGCAAGGAAATTTTTGGCACAACTGAGAAAATGTGAACATAGACTGAGTATTAGGCAATATTATGGAATTACTGTTAAGTGGTGAAAGCAATGTGGTAAAGGAGGCAAATTACTTTATGGACATGAATACTGACGTATTAAAGAGTAAAGTGTCACAATTTCTGAGCTTTACTTTGAAATACTTCGAAAAAAATAAATGACAAAATATTAACAATATTTACTTTGAAATACTTTGAAAAAAATAAATATGACAAAATATTAACAATTGTTAAATGCAGACAATAAGCAATGGATATTTATTATTCTATTTTTCTGTATGTCTGAAAATTTTCCCAAGTGAAAAAAAGCAAATAGAATGTGACCTGTAGCTAATGAGTAAAATCCATTGTTTCCTTCACAGCTAAGCTTCATAAAAGGAAAATGAAATGCTATGTTGAGGAAGGTTTTATTTTGTTGCTTCTAAGTCAGAACTAAAAATTATTTTCTTAGATTGAAGAAAATGAAACAACAGAGAGAGAGAGATTGAAGATAGCGGACAGAAGGAATAGTTAATGGAGCAAGGAGCTGGAAGAGATGGAAATGAGTAACATCATGTATTCTGAATTAGCATTATAAAGGAAAAAAATACTGTATTCTACAAGGAGAAGAAAAAGAACATAGCTAAGTCTACAAGCTGGAAGACAGCAAGTTTAGGAAGTTTGAAAATGATTGCTGAATTAGGAATAAGGTAATCTGGTGAGAGTTAAGTATGGCAAAAAGGGGATGGGAGTTTGGGAAGAATGGTAAGGTTTGAAGTAACCACTGTGAGGAATCAGATAATTAATCAAAGCCAATATAAACACACATGGAAGGCCACTGGAAACATAATTTACTGTCAGCAATCTCAGTAACTATGCAACAACAATTGGCTACATGAATACAGGAAACAAAAGGGCAGAGGAAGTACAGTTGTTCGTATCAGAAGAAGGCTTTTACACCTCAATCTAGAGATCTTGATAAAGCAGAATGGGGAGAGCATGAATAAGGAAGTGAAAGAACTAGGGGGCCAGAAATCTGATAAGTAAACAGGATTAATTGAAATTTCAGAAATGGATTGTACATATGACAAGATCTATACAAGGAGAATTAGTTACCAAGAAGGTTAAGGAACCTCATTCTCTATCAGACTTCTAAAGTAAAATAAATTCTCTGCCTGGCTAGTGTGAGTTCAATGTGGTTTTACCACGTGACAAAAATTGAGGTAATTCATTTTTATCAGTTACAAGGCACAGCAGCTTTTTGGTCTGTATGATGTCTCCACATGATGGTAGTTATTTAAAATGTATCAACATGATGGTGCTTATTTAAAACATCACAAGCAACTTATTAATAATAAAAGTTGAAGCTAAAAAATTGGCTCAGCTTGCTTTTGTCAATTAGAGCTAACTTTTTAATTTTTTTTAAAGAGATAAGGTATCACCTATGTTACCTAGGCTGATTGTGAACTCCTGAGCTTAAGCAATCCTCCTGCTTCAGCCTCCCGAGTAGCTGGGACTACACATCATTTGTGCATGGAAAAGCTAACTAATTTTAATAACAAAATTCTCACTCATATTTAAATACACTTTGTGGAGTAGGAATATCCATGGGAGTAGTATGTTGTACATGTTAATGTAATTTCATATTGCAGCAGAAAAGAAACTGCTAACTGCTAGCATAGAGTATTGTTTTCATTTCAAAGCATTTTATGCCATAGAAAGTACATGACCACAGGTTAAGAATTAAGTGCTGGAAGCTAGAGAAATCATGGCTATTATTTTAATTAATACACTTAATCTGTTTCAAAAATAAAACTAATGAGCCAAGACTGTTTATTTTGAACTTTTAGGACATGCATACCAAAAAAAGCTTCATTAGAAAGTAGCACAATAAATAAAATTTGAACAGGTGCAGCGGCTAACATCTGTAATCCCCACATTTTAGGAGGTTGAGATGGGAGGATCACTTGAGCCCAGGGGTTCGAGATCAGCCTGGGCAACACAGTGAGACTCTGTCTCTACAAAAATATTTTTTAAATTAGCCAGGCATGGTGGTGTGCACCTGTAGTACACCTGTACTTTAGTAGAGACAGGGTACTTCCCGTACTTAGGAAGCTGATGTGGGAGGACCACTTGAACCCAGGATTTCAAGGCTACAGTGAGCAGCCATGATCACACCACTGTACTCCAGCATGGGTGACAGAGCAAAAGCCTGTCTCTAAAATAAATAAATAAATTTTTAAGTTCTCAATCCATACCTCATGTCTATCTTGCTGGTTATGCTAATTTTGAACTTAAGTGACACTCTGGGGTCAAACTAAGAGGAAAAGAATGTCAATGAATGGGACCACACCAGAAAAGTGGTTTCAAAAATAACAGCATCCTCATATATGTATATCCATTCCAGGCTCCTAATTCTAGTCAACAGGTAAAAGGAAGAAAGTTTTAAAGGTAGTACATGCTAGTCCCATGCACCACTATTAAAAGCAGTATATTCTAATATTAGCTTTATGTTATAATGAAACTAATACCACCAAAAAAAAAAAACAGTTCTATAACCTGAGGAGGAAAACTGTATCACTAGAATGTTTTGCAACTTCCACTGAATTTCCAACAAAAATATAAAATACTTACTTTTTCATTTTCTTTGAGTTGTATTTGACTTGGTAAGCTGCTTGGATTAGCTTGTCTGGGACACCGTCAAACTGATGTGGAATGACCTTTTGAAAGTGCTAAGATACAATAAAAGAAAAATATAAGAATGACTTAAGTGCTGTTAATAGTGAAATCCAAAGACATTCAAGAAATTATGGGCTGGGCGTGGTGGCTCATGCTTGTAATCGAAGCACTTTGGGAGGCTGAGGCAGGTGGATCACTTCAGGTCAGGCGTTCAAGACCAGCCTGGCCAACGTGGTGAAACCCTGTTTCTACTAAAAATACAAAACTTAGCCGGGTGTAGTGGTGCACGCTTGTAATTCCAGCTACATAGGAGGCTGAGGCGGGGGAAGGATCACTTGAACCTGGGAGGTGGAGGTTGCAGTGAGCCGAGATCATGCCACTGCACTCCAGCCTGGGCAACAGAGTGAAACCCTGTCTCAAAAACAAAAAAAAAAAAAAAAGGAACTTACCTGTAACATCCCTTCCATGTCAAGTTGCATCAGTTCTGCCTGATTCATCTGAAGAAGTGCTAATCCTACACGAAACACTATTTCTAAACCCTGAGGAAACAAATTAAATAAATCTAAATTTATCTTACTCTTCCATCAACAAAAACAAGTCATTTGAAATAATACTAAGGTAAGCATTTAGGGATCTAAACTAGAGGCTGGTAAACATTTTCTGTCAAGAGTCAGAAAGCAAATATTTTAGATTTGATGGGCTATACTGTCTGTCAAAATTACTCAGCTCTGTCACTACAACCCCAAAGCAGACATACACAACACATAAATAAATGGGCAGGGTTGTGTTCTAGGAAAACTTTATAAAAAACAGGTGTGGAAGGACAGATTTGGCACAAAAATCTGTCCATCTGATTGGGACATGAATCACAGTTGGCCAACTGTGATCTGAACTAATTTAGATAGGTAATACAAATTGATTTTCCCAAGATGTAATTAATAGCAACACTGAGTTCACAGACTAGAAAATAAAGGATTACCTCTATGTACTACTGACAAAAGGACAATAACCTGCAATGTGTTCAGAGAATAGAAGAAACATGCTTATTACTTCTTACTCTTTGGATGACAGATGCATTGCAACAATTTTAACTGTAAGACAAATATTTTACCTCTCACAAACTTTCACTGTATTAGTTAGGTGATAAAGAGATATGGTTAACAGTGTAGGCTCCAAACTGCCTATGTTTGAATCCTTGTTACAACACCACCTATGTATTGTGTGTCCACAGACACGCTACTTAACCTTTCTCTAAGTCTCAACTTCCTCATCTATCATCTAACAAATGGAATAAAAACAGTATCTACCTGATAGGGTTACTACAAGGTTTAAATGGGATATTCCATGTAAGCAGTTTTGCATGGGACACATGGCTTTCCTTCATTGCTCTCCTCATTGCCCTGCTCTCACTAACTCAGTGACCCCTTTGCTCAGCTCCTGCTCTTTGTCTGCCCATTAGCTTACCTCAGACATAAAGATATCAAATATCCTTGTTGCAATTGGTAGTGGAAAAGTTGTAAGAAAGATAGTCAGAAACCAGGATGATGCATACATTGAGGTATGAAAACTCTGAGATTGAAAATGTACAAAGAGCTCTGGAAGATGCTCCTAAAGGGAAGAAAACAGTTAGTTATAACACAGTAAAACTGAGTATTTCAAATTAGATCATTATATTTATACTAGATCAGCCTATACCAAACACAAAGATTAGATCAAGCATCATATGGAAAACGTAAGACATAGAATTTGAAACATTTGGGACAGTGGCTAGTATCTAGGAAAGAAAGAAGGGGAAAAGAATGCGAAGTTGGAATTTTGAGTATAACATTTAATTTATTAATAAAAAGAAACCAATAAAAGTTTTACATTTGTTTAATCCTGTTGGTGGATACAAGAGTGACTGATATTTTCTATACTTTTCTATCAACTATAATATTTCAAAAAGACGTTTAAAAAGAAAAGAAATGTCATGTTAAAATACTTTCAGGCACTATCTACCATTGATCATTCTTACCTTCCTAAAGAATAGGAAAAATACTCAAAATACAGATGTTTCAGCAAGTCTAGTAATTCAAAACATAAATAAGACTTTTTTTTTTTTTTTGAGACAGGGTCTCACTCTGTCACTCAGGCTAGGGTACAGTGGTGTCATCTTGGCTCACTGCAACCTCTGCCTCCCAAGCTGAAGCAATCCTCCCAAGCTGAAGCAATCCTCTCATCTCAGCCTCCCAGGCAGCTGGGACTACAGGTGCACACCACCATACCCAGCTAATTTTTTTTATTTTTAGCAGAGACAAGGTTTTGCCATGTTGCCCAGGCTGGTCTCAAACTCCTAGGCTCAAGTGATCTGTCCACCTCAGCCTCCTAAAGTGCTTGGATTAGAGGCATGGGCCACTGCATCCAGCCATAAATTACACATTAATTGAAAAATATAACATTAAGAGAGTTTAAGGCTGCTAAAAACAAACTTACTATTTCAGAAAAGAATTAATTAAGAATAATCTCAAGTCCAGCCACAGCGGCTCATGCCTGTAATCCCAGCACTTTGGGAGGCTTAGATAGGAAGACCACTTGAGCCCAGGAGTTCAACACCAACCTGGACAACATAGTGAAACCCTGTCTCTACAAAAAATTAAAAAATAAAAAATAAAAATAAATAAAAAACTATTCAGTTGCAGTGTTATATACCTGTAGTTTCAGTTACACAGAAGGCTGAGGTAGGAGGATGGCTTGAGCCCAGGAGGTCAAGGAGGCAGTGAACCATGATTGTGTCATTGTACTTCAGTTTGGGCGACAGAGCTAGACTCTGTCTCAGAAAAAAAAAAAAAAAAAAAAATTTCATCTCAAGACCTATTCTGGCTTTTTCTTTAAAATATATAGAAACAAAAAATCTGTACTCCATAATGTACAACTATTGTATGTCAATCAAAAAATCAGCTGAGCACGGCAGTGGCTCACGCCTGTAATCCCAACACTTTGGGAGGCCAAAGTGGGTGGATCAGGAGGTCAGGAGATCGAGACTATCCTGGCTAACACGGTGAAACCCCGTCTCTACTAAAAATACAAAAAATTAGCCGGTTGTGGTGGTGGGCACCTGCAGTCCCAGCTACTCGAGAAGCTGAGGCAGGAGAATGGTATGAACCCAGGGGGCAGAGCTTGCAGTGAACCGAGACTGCGCTACTGCACTCCAGCCTGGGCCACAAAGCGAGACTCCATCTCAAAAATAAATAAATGAATAAATAAAAAATAAAATGTAAGAACATTTTACATATCCCCTTGCTCCCACCATAGATAGAAAAAATTGGAGTTTATAAGGCTGCCAGGAGACAGGAAACTAATAAAAATGGCTCCCATGCCAGCTGATTCATTAGCCTATTTTCTTAAATTCAGCTCATTTAATTGAAATTGAAATTTAAATAAGTGAAAATATTTACATTATAGCAAACTTAAATATACAAAATATAAAAATTAAATCCAGAAAGGTAAAATACTTCAAAGGTATTTTTCCCTTGATTTTGATTCTGCTCCTATTCTCTCCACCTTCATTCAGTCACTAGATAACTTGAGTCTTAAACTAGCAACGTAAAAAGAAAACATTACAGGAAAAAAAATTACGGGCTAGTAAAAAATAAAAATAAAATAAAAGTAAAAAGGCAGAGGAGAGGACTCAAAGAGATAGAGTCTCAAAATAAGGGGACTGATGTCAGTGTGATAATATCATAAAGCTCCTGTAAGAGAGCTTAGACCATGTAACAACAATAGGATATAATAAGGAAATTCATGTGCTTACATAAGGGGTGTATAGTACATTTGGCAGAAATGCTTAAGGATTGAATACGAAAACTGGAGTCAAGTTCTAGACTGTGATCTACCTAATGTGAAGGGTCAAATCATACATAAACCAACCAAAAAAAAAATCATGTAATTAAAACACTTACACATTCAAGTGCTTTAATGCTTTTAACATTAAATTTGATCAGTTGGCACTCAGAACAAGATATAAAAAATACAACGGCAATATGTCTTTTTATCAACACTGCACTTTTACCTGTATCATACATTCAAACTGGTACATACAAAGGCCCAATTCTGCCATACTTGGTTTAAAAAGTTCACGAAGTCTATAATCTTGCATTAATTTAACAAATACACAGAAAGCTTCTTCTTCTGGCATCTACATTGGAAGGAAAAAAACAACATAGGTTAATGTTCTATGATACACAAATAAACCAATGATATTTAAACTAAGTACCCAGCCAACCATAAGCACTGTTTGAGTGGCTGTGTGCTGCAATGCTAAGAGCAATTAGCTAAGAATCAGAAAGTTCTAGTCTCCCATTCCATCACCAAGAACGAGAAGTTAAACAAATCTTACAATCTCTGAAACCAACTGTCTCAACTTGCCTCATTCATTAATTCAACCAACAAATACTGATTTATAGCCAGATACTTTTCTCTCTCTGGGTATACAGCAACGAACAAAATAAACACAATTTCTATTCTCAAGGAATCTGAACTTTCTAATGGAGGGAGGCAGACAAGACACGGAATAAATCAACTAATATGTATGTCAGATGGTGACAGATGCTACAGAAATAAAACAATGTAGGGTAACAGGGAATGCTGGGGAGACACACGGCTATTGATGTAGATCAGGAAAGGTCCCCTGATATGGTAACAGTTGAGCAGAATCCTGAAGAAAGCAAGGGAGCATTTGAGGAAAGAACAGTTCCAGAAGACCAAAGAGTACAAAGGTCCTAAAATGGAATCACACTTGGCATGCTCAAGAAACAGCAAATAGAGAACTACTAAATTAGAATACTATGAGTGAAGCTTACGTCATGGAGGAGAAATAACAGGGAACCAAAATGCAGAGGGCTGTAGAGGCCATGGTAAGGATTTTGACTTTTACCTTAAGCGAGAGAGAAGGTTTTTTGAGGATTCTGAGCAAAAAGTCATATGACATGGTGCAAGTATTAAAAGGACATGTTAATTATGTTTTCATATTATCTGAAATTGGGGTTTAAAGTTACCAATTTCACATTTTATGTGTAAATCACCAGGATATCATATCAAATAAGATAATTAATATGAAAGCTCTGTAAAGAGCTACAAAGATATTCAGAATACTTAGGCAAGTAACTACCCAAAGTGTTAAGCCATCTTTCTCAAAATAATAAAATTTGCTAATTCTCATTCATTCCCATTATACCGGTGTGTTTCAAAAGAGAACATCCCAAAAGATCTCCAGGCCTTCTTCTTGCTGAAGACTGCTGCTAATAACAAGACATTTTCCCTGGCCTTGACACAGCCACGGACAGGAGCCAAGAGTTACTCTTGGCAAAACCTGCACTTCTTCCTTCCTCTCAACACACATGGCCACAGTTCTACTTTGGAGGTTATCTCTATTAATTATATCAAGCTCCACAGTCCCACTGAATTATGTCAGTCACTACCAGAAGCCCCAAATCCCAGGACTCTCATCCTACATGATTTTACTGCTCCCCTAATCTGACCCCATTTCCAATCTTTCCTAAATCTTTTCCACAGCATTTTCTGGAACCCATATCCTACCATGAACACAATAGTCTACCTATATCCTCAATCTCTTTTCCAAATGTTGCTCTCTTTCTTTAGCTGAAATCTGGATTTCCCTTAAGAATATTTCAACACTGAAACCTGGCTCTCTCCTAAGGTAGTTGCGTTCTCTTTTCTCTCCCACAGCACTGGAAAGGGACAGAGATTACCGAGGTATATGTCCTCACGCGATTTAATCATTGTACGAACATCATAGAGTGCACCTACACAAACCTACATCATATAGCTTACTATACACCTAGGCTATATGCTATATAGCCTATTGCTCCTAGGCTACAAACCTGTACAGTATGTTACTGTACTGAATACTGTACACCACTGTAACATGATGGCACATATTTGTATATCTAAACATTGAAAAAGCAAAGTAAAAATAGGGTTTATGATCTTAGGAGCGCACCATCATACATGCAGTCCACTGTTGACCAAAATGTCATTATGGAGTATGTAATTATAATTTCCCTTTTTGTCTTACAACAATTTCTTCTCTTCTGAACATATCAAAACAAGTTTCATTCCCTCTCCTCTTTGCAATAGCATTAATATGGGAACTAGAGGAGAATTTTTTTAATGGCAACATTTTAAAAAATAAGTTGAGGTAATTTGGCAAAAGAGGAAAAGGAGACAGAAAAAGTATCACTAGGTCCTTCTCAAAAAAATTGAAACCATGGCAACAAAATGAAAAAATGTGACATGGAGTGGCATATACCAAGTTGTTTTATAGTCATTCCTTTCCATTAGAAAGAAATCAAGATGCTTGAGTCCTAGAGCAATGTGCTGCTACATACTTTCTCTGTGACTCTGAGCTGATAAGAATCCATGTCTTTTGCAAAGGTCTAATGCAGACAATATACCTAATTTTATAGGAGTGAGATACACACAAAACATACATATCCAACACTTTTAACCATTTTGATACAATATGTACTAACTTTGCAAATTTTATCAGACTCTGAGTTACATTTCTAAACTGAAGTTATGGGAGAACAATATACCATAAGATGTGAGCATAAACTTCAGAAACAAAAAGAGGAGCTTTTCTACCTTATGGCCCTGGGTCATAAGTGACTACTGTTGTGTTAATATATTGCTGCCACTGACAACAGCTAAGTAGATCAATCACCAAAATATTATTTATTACTCCAATGGTGGTAATAATACTTATTAAAGTTAGTATTTCTACCACCACTGCTTGCCCTGTCTTGAAGGAAACCGTGATTCCTTGAGGATTCACAGGATTCACAGGATTCCTAGAGAGCTAGGTCAGCTGTTCAGAGATCCAGACCTCAAGCAGAGAAAAACTGCTCTTTAGATGCCCAAAAGAAATGACTACTAAAAGGTCATTGTGGAGCTAACAGGAAAATAAAAGGAACAGAACAGCAGCAAAAATCACTAGACTGATAATAAGGATGTCTGAGTTCAGTAATGAAGGATCTATCAGTACTAAACAATCAAAGTAGGAAAAGCGTAATTTCAATTAGCAATAATTGTGCCTTGGATAAACCTCATTGGCTACGATATTGTCACTGCGCAAAGCTGGAAAATCGTAATTTTGTTAAACAACTATACCTCAACATTAACAAACCTAGTTTTGCATTGTATTATTTATAACCTAATTCCACTTAGAAATCAATAACCACTGGGAGCACTTCTTATGTGTTCTTACATATGCTATAACACAGAGTAAAAATTATTTTTATTATTAACCAGTGTCTCTGACATCAGGTTTATTCTACTCAGAAAAGAGGGGTGTGTATACTCCTGACAGCAACAGAGCTTTAAAACTCAAAGCAGTTGGGAAACTGAAGCAAAGCATCAGGAAACGGTTTGTGATTCCTGCTTTGCTTTTATCTACCAGGATGCATGATTTGGGTAAATCACTGAACTTTCACTGCCTATCTCCTATGGGCCAAACACCATGCTAGGCTTCCACATACATTACCTCAAATAACCCTCACAACTAATCTGAAAGTAGATAGTGTTATCTTATTAAGGCTCAGAGAGAGGTTAAATAATCTAGCCTAAATTCATACAGCATGTGCAGAACTGAGTTGCAAAACCACCCTATATGACTCAAACCAAGTATCTCCATGATTCCTTTTCAGGACTAAAATCTGAGACTAAATAAAGACTAACACGGACTTAACATTTCAACAAAGTTGAAGAGATAATACTATATGCCATTTCCCTTCAAAGCTATGATTATCCTACCCCTGAATTCTGAAAACATCCCACCCAAACCCACTGCACAATTACTCAATAACAAAGTTATATCCTTACGGAGTAAAAGTGGCTGAGTACCACTATTTTAGAGCATACAGTGAGGTATGCATAATGAGCTTTTAGCTCCATGATAAATTAAATTCTCTACAAATCTCTAAAGATATTCTACAATATAAACAAGATTTTCTTACCAACACTTTAATTATTCCCTCCTTGGTTAGAAAAAGATTACTCTTCATTAAATGTTAACAAATAAGATTTTAAACTACTGTAGATACAAGCTTTAGTAGAATATTGTAGTAAAAATGTATACATCATTAAGTTGAAATTTCATTTGGTGGTAAGATATTATTGTATGTTATTTTAACACGTTTAATCTTTTAAAATGCAAACTAAATATTTGTATTCAAATTATGCCTAGGAAAAAATACCCATATCCACTTATATTTAATAAAAACAAAGATGTTTTTTAAACTCTCCAATCCAACTTTAATAAAGAATTTCATTGGACATTTAATACTTATATTAACTTACCTGCATAAGCAACAATCCAACTATAAAAGCACTTCCTTGACAGTAACCAACCTCACGATCTACTAAAGAATAAGCCTAAAAAGTAAAAAAAAGTTGTTCAAAATACATGGTAAGTTATACCTTCCTTCTCCAAAAAACCTAAAATTGGCAAGACAGGCAGATTAAAAGACCATTTATTTTTGAGAAAAGCTCTTGCTTGCTTGTTATAGATGTTACCCTATACATATTTAAAAAGCAAATGTTTTATTACATGAAATTTTTATTTTGACAATCTCCCAATCCAAACTTGGTAGCTCCTAAAGACATAAAATAAAATAAAATAAAATAAAATAAAATAAAATAAAATAAAACACAGGAATTTGTAACAGGGCTTAAACGTCAAGTAAAATTGAGCCAGGCATGGTGGCTCATGCCTGTAATCCTAGCACTTTGGGAGGCGGAGGCAGGTGGATCACCTGAGGTCAGGAGTTCGAGACCAGCCTGCCAACATAGTGAAACCCTATCTCTACTAAAAGTAAAATTTAGCTGGGTGTAGTGGCAGGCGCATGTAATCCCAGCTACTAGGGAGGCTGAGGCAGGAGAATCGCTTGAACCTGGGAGGCAGAGGTTGCAGTAAGCTGAGATCACACCACTACACTCCAGCCTGGGCAACAAGAGTGAAATTCCATCTCAAAAAAAAAAATCAAGTAAAATTTATATTGATGTAGATAAAACTAGACTAGGTTTAAAGCAAAGGATTGGCAAAATTGAAATGATTTAACAAGAAATCAGTATTTCACAGAGGTAGCTGAAATAAAAAGTAACTGTGGGAAGAGAAATGGTAATATTGAAGAAAAAATGTCAATGGTACACCTTTCAAGGGCTAAATGCTCTTAACAATGCTGGTCATAGCAAGCAGAAAAATTTGCTAACTGTAGGAATGCAGAGATGATAGGAGAAACCCACATTCCAGGTTTTGAACTTTACAGATGGTGAATTATCCATTTTTATGAGGATCCCTCTATGGTATGTGATTGATTAAGCTATTCCATTTCCATCAACTAATGCTGAATAATGTAGTAAATGTTCTAACAAGTTCTCTACACTAGACAGTAATGTAGCATCAGAATTAATGCAAAAATAATGCTAAAACCAATTTCATTGCTAAAGCAACTGATTATTGCAGTGGGAGGTCATGCCTCATCGTGAAAAATGTATAATTTCAACCTTCCAGGAATTAATTTCATTTCAAAAATGAACAAATAAAACTTACCTTCATTACATTAAATAAAACCTCCTGTCCAAGGCTATCTTTTTCCTTAAAAAAGTTGTGTTCAGGATAAGTTCTAGCAATGTCCCTTCGGATCAATTTTTCACAAGGCGAGGTCATTTTCAGGAGTTCTGAATACTGATCCTTAATTGGCATACTTTGTGCACTGCATAAAAGTTGCCAAACTATTGCTCTAAAGTGATGGGGTATCCCTTTACGAACAAGTTCCTAAAAATAAAATAAAATTATAAAAATGAATTATTTAAGTCTCCTATCTTGCAAGCCAAGGAAGACTTATTAGGGGGTTGGAATGAAGCGGTAGACTTCATTAAATTTTTAACTCACAAAGCTAGCTTTATAAGAAGACTAGGGAACCCTGTAAGTCAAGGGTAAGATTGGGCCCTGGGTGTATCCTGTTCTGGTCAGGGGATTAATAATGGTCACTTCACCTCAGTGTGTGGCCTCTTAAGGTAATGGACTTGAAACCTGCAGAGCTATGAATGACAGTACAGTACTCATCATTCAAAGGGCTGTTGAAGGCCAAAAAAAAAAAAAAAAAGTAAAATACTGTTATCAAGAATGCAGTATGTCACAACTTCATTTCTGAATCGATAAAATGAGAGAATTTAACTTGTAAAACAATTTTCGGGCCAGGTGCGGTAGCTCACAACACTTGGGGAGGCCAAGGCAGGAAGACTGCTTGAGGCCAGGAGTTTGAGATTAGCCTGGGCAACAAAGCAAGATCCTATCTCTACAAAAAAGTGAAAATAAAAAATTATCCAGGTGTGGTGACACACACCAGTAGTCATAGCTACTCAGGAGCCTGAGGCAGGAGAACCGCTTGAGCCCAGAAATTCGAGGTTATAGCGAGCTATGATTGCACCACTGCACTCCAGCCTGAGTAACAAAGTGAGTCTCTATAAAATAATAAGTAAATAAAATAATTTTCAGTTATATATTTCTACATTATCAGGACCTCTGTAACAACTGATGTCTACAAATTAAAACTTCCAGGGGTACAAGTAAGTGAAAACAAAGCGGACCTCTTTAATACATAGCTTGGAAGTTATATTTGGGGGGGGGGTTCTAACCCTCTATTAAGTTATGTCTGACGCACTTTAGAATAAGAACTTCAACAAAGAACATGAATACCTTAACTTGCTTTTCCTTCTTTTTGCGTACATCTTCCCATTCATTAACAATTCTTCCCCAAAGAATCCAAGAATCTTCTTCAAGGTGACTGAGGTTGCTAGAGGCTGAAGAACTCGACACAAGAGAAGAGCCACTGTTTCTTCTTGACCCATTTACAGATCTTAAAGACTTACTATCCGTTTCTAACAATCTAAAACATAATTAAAAACTGTTCAAGATCTAATCTGACAGTGATAATAGAAGAGGCAGTGATGATACTTAGAGCTTTATTACTGCAATTTAACCACTGTTTTAAAATATAGTTTTAATAATACACGTAATTTAAATAAATTTTGGTCAGCATCAATAAAATTACTGCTATATTTTTTTCACCTATCATAGTAGTTTGAAAATTTGAAAAAGCAAATTATGTTACAACTTTTTGAGCTACTAGCCCCATTATAATTTCCCTTCATCTCCATTAAAAATTCAAATTAGGGGAAATCTGATGAGAAAAGTATTTGGGTAGGCTTCAGGAAAAAAGAACTTATACTTGGAAGAGGTATAACAAATCTATGAAATAACTAATCCTAAAATGTTTACAATGTGTCTAAGGTTTAAAAGTAAGGCAGAGCCCCCAAAATTAACCAAATCACTTTTCTTTTTTCATTTCTCTTCACACATGCATAACCAATCTGCCCAAAAAGTATTTATTTAGCCCATGCAGTGTTTGTATAAAAACTGAGCTATTACTAACATATTAAAATTGGAGGATTTCACATATTTGTTTATATGCATTTATACTTTATAATTCTAGATTATCTTGAAAAATAAAAAGATAAGGCAAAACCGGTCCATATTTCTGCACAGTAAAAACAGGATATAGCTGCGTGGGAGCTTCTTCCTTCAAATGCAGAAGGACTTTAATCTGCTCACTTTCCATAATCCCTACAGTTTCCCCTAAAACTCAGGCCAGCTAACGCTGCTATTTATTACTAGGCTTACACTGTTAAACTGGGACCTCCTCACTTATAAGATCCCTGTTGACTTTTGAGCTTGCAACCCCATGTTAGGCCTCCTCCTTATCTGTTCAAAGATGGGTTAAGATAATTTCCAAGATCCAATCCATGACTAATCACTACATTAAGTCTTTTATTTATTTCACATATGCACCAGCTAAAAGGAAGGTGGAAAATGTGGCTCTATCACTATTTAACACAGCTACTACTCACTTCCAGTAATTCTTCAGGAAAAGTCATCTGCTTTAGGTACAACAAATGCTCACAATACTAATTCATAAAATACAAAAGCTGAGAAAGAAAATAAATATATAGAGGTCAAATCCTATTTAACAGATTATAGAACCACCCTTTGAGAGCCAGATTTATATGCTACTCATCGTTATACCCCTTAGAACATTTAGCTCAATGCAAAGCATATTAACTATCAAAATGAAATAAAATCCTAAGTCCAAATTTTAAAATTCCAAATTCCAGGTATGTCATATTAAATAACACAATAGTATAAACTGAACAAACAAATTCTATCCTTATTGAGGGAAATTTTAATATATTTTCATGGCAACAATAATTAAAATAAAATTTCCCAAATACTGCTACAAACATAAAAACATACTAAACAGCCAAAGTGAGCATGAACTAATTACTATAAATAATTTTACTTGAAAAAAAGAATTCAGAACGAGGTCTCTGAGGAAAAGAAAAAGACGAAAAAAGAATTAATGATGATGTTTTACTTTAAATACTGTTTTAAAATACATATTATTTCACTAAGTCCATAATATATCTTATGGAAAAATTAGTTTACATAGGTAATTTTCCACATGATTCTAAACCCTAAGAATTGTAAATGCAATAGAGAAACAAATTTTACTGAAATAACCTGAATCTTAGTTATCTGCTTCACTTATTTACTGACTGCTTGCTACGTCTCAATTAAACTGCATCACTGTCAACAGAGATATGCAGTTCAAAGAAAATAATGGTTTTCCTAAGTTAAACCTAAGTTCGAGCTGTAATCCAAGTATAGATGAAGCAGCACCTATATAGAAGGCTTTTAGAGAGTCAAAAAGTCTTGGATTGCTGAGTTATTAATACAGGTTCTAGGACAGGCATGAATATCAAGTGAATTCATAGCATTCATGAGTTAGAGAAGATTAAGCAGTTAACTTTCTAAGAACACTGAAATAGCACATCCAATTATACAAAGCTGTGTGGAACATTTACAAATAAAATATCTCAAGACATTACACTATTTAAAGATACTGTCTCTGCTTTATCTTATTTCATATGTAAAAATGATTTAAAATAGATAAGCCCAAATATAACAAAACTATAAAACTCCTAAAAACAAAATATAGGAAAACCTATTCACAACCTTTGGGGTAGGCAAAAATTTGTTTGCAGGACATAAGGAAACAGTAACTACAAAAGAAAAAATTGATTTAAAAACTGGACTTCACCAAAATTAAAGAGCTGTGCGCCTCAAAAGATACTATTTTAAAAAATGAAAAGGCAAGCCAGACCAGAGACTAAGACAAAAAAAAAAAAAAAAAAAAAAAAAAAAAAAAGTCTAAATACAGGAATCTGACAAAAGATAGCATATGAATATATGAACCAGTCTTAAAGAAACCAAACACCACACTTCAAAAAATGAGTAAGAGATGTAAATTGATACTTTCTAAACAAGATAATCAAATAGCCAATAAGTACTTGAAAAATGTTAACATCTTTAGTCACCAAGGGAAATGCAAATTAAAACCAAACTATATACATATTAGAATGGCTACAATTCTAAAGACTGACCATACCAAATGTTGGCCAGGACGGAAGCAATTCTATCAATATTAAAAGTATAAAATAGTATAACACATTTGAGAACTGCTTGATAATTCCTCATACAGTTAAAATACATTTCCATATGGTCCAGCACTAAAATGAAAACATATGTACAAAGCTGAAAGTTCATAACAGCTTTATTCACAATAGCCCCAAACCAGAAACAATCCAAATGTTCAGAAAAATAAGTGATCAAACTGTGGTACATTCATTCCGTGTGACACTACTCAGCAATAAAAAGAAATAAACTGCTGATACGTGCATCAACATGGATGAATCTTACAGATGTTAGGTAGAATGAAAGAAGCCAGGTGCAAAAGAGTACAGACGATATGATTCCATCTATATAAAGTTTAAGAACGAGCATAATATAGAAGAAAATACAAGAATAAATCTTCATGACTTTTGAGTTAGGTAAAGCCTTAAATATGACCAAAAGCACAAGTGACAAAAGAAAAAACAGATACACTGGAATTCATCAAAATTAAAACATTTTGCACTTTATTGGCTACCACCAAGAAAGTAGAAAGACAATTTACAGAATGGGAGAAAATATTTGCAAATCATAAGGGACTTGTATCTAGAATACATAAAGAACGTTTACAAATCCTTGCAAATCAATAATAACATGATTTTAAAATGGACAAAAGACCTGAATAAACATTTTTCCAAAGAAAATGGCCAATAAATAAGAAGATGTTCAACGTCACTAGTCATCAGGAAAAAGCAAATTGAAAACACAATGAGATACTTTACAACCATTAAGATAGTTACAATCAAGATGACAAATAACAGTAAGTGTTTGTGAGAATATGGAGACAATGGAACTCTCATACACTACTTGTGGGAATGTAAAATGGTACAAGCACTTCAGCCTGGCAGTTCCTCAAATGATAAGCACACAATTACCATGACTCAGCAATTCCACTCTTAGGTATATATTCAAGAGAAATGAAAATTTATATCCATCAAAAACTTATATACAAACATTCATAGAAACATGATTCATGATATCAAAAAAAAAAAAATCCAAATGTCCATCAACTGATGAATGGATAAAAAACATATGGTATACCTAAACAATGGAATACCAGCCACGAGAAGGAATTATATTCTGATACACACTATGACATCAATGAACCCTGAAAACATTATGCTAAGTTAATGAAGCCAGTCACAAAAGGGCACATATTACATGAATACATTTACATGAAATATCTAGAAGAAAGAGAATGGAGATTAGCAGCTGCTGAGGGCTGTAGTAAGGGTGAAGGTAGTCAGGGAAACATGGACTGCTAATGAGTGTGCAGTTTCTTCTTGGAGTGATGAAAAAATTCTAAAATTGATTGTGTTGACAATTGCACAACTCTGTGAGTACAGAAAACACAACTGAACTTTATACTTGAAGTGGGTGAGTTAAATATATGGTATATAAATATCTGAATAAAGCCATTATACAAAAAAGAACAGGTAGAAGAGAAGTTTTGACAGAGGCTGGGGTTGCTAGAAAGGACACAAAGGAATTTTCTGAGACGATGGACATTTTCTAATATAACAGAAACTTTCTAAGTCTTAATAGGTATGTGGGTTATACATAGGTATATACATTTTTTGAAACTCAAACTCTACACTTAAGAACTACACATTTCGGCCAGGCGTGGTGGCTCACACCTGTAATCCCAGCACTTTGGGAGGCTGAGGCGGGCGGATTGCCAGAGGTTGGGAGTTCGAGACCAGCTTGGCCAGCATGGTGAAACCCCGTCGCTACTAAAAATACAAAAATTAGCCGGGCGTGCTGGCACATGCCTGTAATCCCAGCAGCTACTCAGGAAGCTGAGGCAAGAGAATCGCTTGAACCTGGGAGGCAGCAGAGATCGCACCATTGCACTCCAGCCTGGGCAACACAGCGAGACTCCGTCTCAAAAAAAAAAAGAACTACACATTTCTCTGCATATTATTCATCAATTTTTAATCACTTCATCAATATTTGTAAAAAATATTATCTACTTAATGGCACTAGGGATAGTAAAATTTCAGTGAGAAACGACTGCATTTTATTATTGTAAGCCCTTCTGAACTTTTTAAAACCATAACTATTACTTTTGTAAAAGATTATTTTGGGTATATTTTATAAATAAAGAAAGATATAAATATTACTCCATATTTGCCTTTTCCAATTTCCTGGTCATTCCAGAAAATTTTTAAATTCTCTAGAGAAAAACTTTAGAATTTTTATAATGAAGAAGCCCTTTTCTGTGAGAGAGTCGGAACATTTTGCAGAAGTAGTAATACTTGAATTGATACTATGAAGTCTCCCCCCAGTGAACTATAGCATGTATTTTTCTACAGCATG